CTCAAAATAAACAAAAATGCTCACAAGTGGACCAATAAGCAACAACACGATAAATGGAGAAAAGATTGAAGTTGTCAGGGATTTCATTTTATTTGGATTCACACTCAACACCCATGGAAGCAGCAGTCAAGAAATCTGATGCCATATTTCATTGGGAAAATCTACTACAAAAGACCTCTTTAAAGTGTTATGGAGCGAAGAGGTCCCTTTGAAGACTAAGGTGCACCTAACTAAACCCATGGTATTTTCAATCACCTCATATGCATGTGAAATCTGGACAATAAGGAAGACCAAAGAATGGATACCATTGAACTGTGGATGATGGTGAAAAATAGTGAAAATACCATAGATTGCCAGAAAAACAAACCAACTTGTCCTGGAAGAAGTGCAGCAGGAATACTCATTGGAAGTGAGAATGGCCAGATTTCATCTCACGTACTTTGGTATGTTGTCAGGAGGGACCATTCCCTGGAGAAGGATATCATGCTTAGTAAAGTGGAGGGTCAGCAAAAATGGGGAAGACCCTCAATGAGATGGATTGACACAGTGGCTGCAATGATGAGCCCAAGCATGGTAAGGATCGTAAGGATGGGTGCAAGCCTGGACAGTGTTTGTTTCGTTCTGTCATATGTAAGATCGCTATGTGCCAGCTCTACAGCACCTAACAACACAGCAATATTTGAGAATATCATTCCCCCCCACCAATGCTTCTGGAATTCCAGGGCCAATTCCATGTTGCCCAACTCCTTTAACACATTCACCATCAGAAAACTAAGCTATTTGTTTTCATACTATTTCATAATCACCTAATCCAGCATTTCTCAACTCTCTGTATATCAGGATCACAGTATCCCAGTCCCACTCTCCAGCTATTTGTGATTTACTTGGCCTTCACCTTAAAAAATTCCACAGGTGAATCTTCTATACAGCTAGGATTAAGAACCAAGACCTAATCTAATCCAATACCTAACCCTTTCTTGCCCTCCTAAACCCTCTCTCTGTGGTGGTTTTGTTAGGTGCTGTCAAGTCGTCCCCAACTCACAGTGACCCTATGTACAGCAGAACAAAACAGTGTGTCAGCTCCACGATCCTTGCTATACTTCAGCCCATTGTTGTAGCCACTGTGTCAATCCATCTTGTTGAGGGTCATCCCCTATTTCGTCAACCTTCCACTTTACGATGCATGACACCCTTCTCTAGAGAATGGTCCTTTCTGACAACATGACCAAAGTAGGTGAGACAAAGTCTGGCCATCCTTGCTTCCAAGCAGCATTCGGTTACACTTCTTCCAGGACAGATTTGTTAGTTCTTTTGGCAGTGCAGGGTACTTTCGGCTTTCTTCACCAACAGCACAACTCAAAAGCATCGACTTTTCTTCAGTCTTCCTCATTCATTGTCCAGCTCTCACATGCTTATGAGGTGACTGAAATACCATGGTTTGTGTCAGGTGCACCTTAGTCTTCAAGGAGTTATCTCTGCTCTTCAGCATTTGAAACAGGTCTTTTGCAGCAGATTTGCCCAGTGCTACATGTCGTCCTGTATTCTGACTGCTGCTTCCATTGGTGTTGATTGTAGAACCAAGTAATATGAAGTCTTTGACAACTTCACTCTTTTCTCCATTTATTGTGATGCTGCTTATTGGTCCAGTTGTGAGGATTTTCTTCTTTATATTGAGGTGTAATCCATACTGCAGACTGTAGTCTTCGATCTTCATCGTAAGTGCTTCAAGTCATCCACACCTTCAGCAAGTAAAGTTGTGTTGTCAGCATATCACAGGTTGTCAACGAGTCTTCCTCCAATCCTGATGCCACCTTCTCCATATAGTCCAGCTTCTCTGATTATTTGCTCAGTGTACAGATTGAATAAGTATGGTGAAAGGACACAACCCTAATGCACTCCCTCCCTCTATGCTCTCTATAATTGTCTATTAGCAGATTTGCACAAAAGATTTCTCTGTGCCTTCTCTTCATTTCTCACCTTCACTGAAATCTGGCTTCCTCTTTCATTCCCCCAGTAGAATGTTTCCCTGCAGCCCTCTCAAGGTTGGTTTCCTCCCAAGTCCCATATACATCTTATCTTTAAGCCTTTGTTGTTCTCATTCTCCACTGCTGTTGTCAAACGTTTTCTTCTCTATTAAACAAACAAATGAACAACAAAAAGCCCTTTAAAGTCATCAGACTTTTTCATTCATTACCTGGTTCCTTCATTAATAACTTTACCACTTGGTTTACAATCTTTCTCCTTACTTCTTCAATGGTCATTCTGGCCAAACTTCACTCCACCTAGATTATCCATCCCATTCCTTCACCTTTTCACCTCCGATGATCTCTTCTCCCACTCTTAACCCACCCACTCATAAACTATACCATCTTACTGTATAAATGACTCCTAGACTTTTTTTTCTGACTCAACGGCACATAACATCACTTGCTAAATTTTCTCATCTCATGGAAACCTCATTTTTTGACCCTACTTCAACACCTTTGGCCATTCTGTAGCACTCAGTTTATCAACTTCAACTAGTTCTGCTTTCCCGCACCTGGACCCTAGATCCTAATTATTGGAGAAAATCACAGAATCTTGCTGATGAGAGCATCTTAAGTTCTGTTATTATAAATCCAAAGTAGGTACTTAGCCCTGCCAAATCCTACTAAACTTACCTGATAAAGTGAGATGCTAATATTCTACCTTCTTCCTCATCAGATGGTTACTTTTTGAGTTTCCCAACCATCTTGTAGGACCATTTTGAGGATGAAAAGCACCAATACATGTGGAAGTGCTTTATTAAGCTACACAAAGGCTATGGCAAGCTCCCTTGAGCTTTTTTATACTTACTGTTAGTCAACTGCTCTCTTCGGCTCTGAAAAGCCTACAAAGTCACAAACCTAAAAGCATGGAGGAGGAGCTGTACTGCACTCAAGTAGGTATGTCAGGGCAGCTCAATCCCTCAGCCTCAACACCAAGAAACTGCAAATTCTGAAGGTGAGAAAATCCTAGAAGCCAATATATAACTAGAGAAGGTGGCATTTCTTTGCCCTGCCTGGGAAAGCCCTGATTTAGCTATTTGCCCAAGAACCAACTGGAGGGTTCCCCAAAGTGAGGTTTTTTTCTTAGACAGAGGCTCCACAGAGAATCCTAGCAAGCTGTCATCTGATTAGAAAAGACCTGGCCAAGTGCAAAGATGGCTGCTAGAAGCATGGCTGCCAGTTCCCCAGGCTGATCTCTAGAATCACCCAACAACTATGAAACAAACAGAAAAACACTTGTATGCAGAGTTCAATTCTGGTCAAGGTAGAGGTGGAACTCAGGTCATGAAAGAAAGTACTGAAGTCAAAAAGAAGTGTGGGAAACAGATCTAAGCAATCCACACTAGCAGGTTAGCAGCTAATCAAAAAGTCCATTCCATAGTTGAAAGGTCAAGCAACTACTTAAAAAGATTTTCTGAAAGGCCATTTTGAGTATTTATATAGTAAACCACTTAACAGATACATCATATTGTTTTCTGAAATTTTTCAGTCAGCATATTTTAATAGGTTGTCACCAGGCTAAGATCAAAACTATTTTTTTAAAAAAAATCCCGTAACAAAGCAATGTAACTAAGACCAATAGCACTGATGACTAAAAACCAAAATCCAAACACACTGCCACTGAGCCAATTCCAACTCATAACAAGCCCCATTGGATTTACAAGGCAGTAAATCTCTACGGAAGTAGATCACCCCATCTTCTTTCCACAGAGCAGCTGTTGGGTTTGAACTACCAACCTTCTGGTTAGCAATCATATGCCTTAGGCGCTACATCACCAGGGCTCCTTGTCGATGACTAAAGGGTGAAGTCTCTACCTAGCTCAATTCTGAAAGTAGAGCAACTAAAGCAAGTCCAGGTCAGAGTTCTCTGAAAATATCAGATATGATATACTGCTATTTAATTCTACATACACCATTTTCAGTGAAGCAGGAATGACCAGCTAGCCTCATGAGAAATAGACAGGTCATACTCAATGTCAAGGTCACAATTAATTGTCCCTTCAACAAAAGTAAATTATCTTGGGCTTTGTGTCTTAATTAGGAAATCATGTATCATTGAGAAAATCTTCATCTCTTTTAAAAAACCTTATTTGTAATAGATTACTTTTAAAAACTATACCACAGGAAAATATACTAACACCAAAGTTACTCGAGTCAACAGTTTTGCATTGGTCTTTAATCCTTTTTATTTCTTCTTAACAAACTTCAGGGTCTTGCAAGTGAAACCCAAAATGCTTTCTTGATATCCTTTATACAATTATATCTTCTTTGGGGAAAACAATCTTTCCAACAATACTAAGAAATCCAGTGGTCCAGATTTCACAACTCTTCTGTTTTAAAACAAAAGCTACTTAAGTCTTCCCTTTCAGAAGAACTGCTTAATTATACAACACATTTTTAATTTTTTCATTAATAAACAGTCCACAGCATTCATAAAACAGAGTGGAAAAAATAGAGACACTTTTCAGGTGAATTCTTTATGTTTAAGAACAGATGAGTTGGAAGCAATTGAATACAGACGGAAACAATACAATCCATATAAAAACAGGATTTAAGGGAGGGAAAAAGATATACCAATCGAAGTAAATTTAGAGCTTTCATGCATTCAACCCAACATCTGTATTTTCACTTAAAAACCAAATAAGGTGTTTTAACAGGTGTTCATAAAGAAGGCTATACAAAAGTACTGCAATTAAAAAAAAAAAAAAGCTAGTCTTATATACCACATTTAAAAAAAAAAAAAAGAGAGAGAAAAAAGTAAGAATCCCGGCTACACCTAGTCTAACCACATTTTTCCAACAGAGATAGATACAGAAAATTAACTTTTCACGAGCTTAGCTTCAAGGTGCAGAACCTTAGAGCTCTCACTTGGGTGTTTGTTTCCGGCTCGTGCTCTTTTCAATAGAAACAAATATGGGTTATGTAGTGGAATACATACTTGAAGGCTTCCTTAAAAAATAATCACAAGTTTTATTTTATATATACAACAAATTTTTAATTATGTACTGAAAATAAATTACAGGAAATAACTTTAAAATGCAACAGAGGACAGTTTCACAACAAACATTCCCATTGAATTCTCTTGGGGAGAGGGGTGAGATTGCAGTGCTCAAGGAAGATAAATATCACAAATTTATCAAAAACTTTAAATTGTCTATGCATTCACACACTGACATGAGCCACAAACATTCCTTCACAGGGACTGTACTTATGAGTCTACCACAGAACCAGATTTTGCCATGAGCTACAAAACTTTTAATACAAAATCGTATTTATATATTTATAATTCATATACATGCCCTATCTGTGATTTTAGAAAATAAAAGCTACACAATGTACAGACACTTTTAACTCATAGCTGTAGGCAACGTTTTTGGATGGAATTTCTCCCCCAATAAAATTAATGGCATATTTTATGTACATGAAGGCTAAACTGCAAAAATGACAGTTCAGTTTCCCAGATATGCATCTCCTTTTAGGGCAGGTTTATAAATTTAAAAAGGCAAGACAAATGTACACCTCAGAATCACTTTCTTAGCAACAAGAGCTGTCATGTAATTTCTGTGAAGTTTCTGATACATGCATTTACATAATACTGGTACTGAAGGCAGTAAAGCAATATATACTTTTAATGTAGTGGCTCAATAAAGGCTTCATTGTCATTTCAATTCGATTCTTGATACAGTGATTCATAATTTCTCTAAAAATTAAAATTCTAATGGGATATAGTGTTAGATTCGCTAAATAGATTTCTTAAAATATTTCCCTGAAATATCCTTTTATATGAGACAAATTTCACTAACATTAGATTAAGTAAAAAGAAAAAAGGAAAGATAAAAAAAAACAACATGGCATAAATGTGCTGATAAACTAATGCTCCTCAGCCAATCTCAAGTCTCAGGAGCCAATTAAAAAAATGCTTAAAACCAACAAACAATTTTCACACTGTGGCAGCCATCTACGAAGCCAGTTACACTAAACTACTTCTACAGTTGATTGTAAACTTTGGTTTATTTTTATTTGAGTTCTCATTGTACAGCAAGCATGAAAAAAACAGAGAGTGGAGTCCATGAGGAGATGAACTGTCAGTCTGTCTTTAATCTGGCATGATGAGACAACTGGTCAGTCAGGCCTGCTTTGATAGAGTTTGTTACAGACTGCCTTATGTTTTCCTCCATCAAATTATCACCCAGGGGCTTGAATACCTGTGGCATGAGAAATGTGCAAAACAAACAAAAACATGAGGTAAAAAAGAGTTACATATAAAAATAGATATAAAAATTCAATTTAAAGCAATGAAGAAAATAACCAGGAATGTGGAAAATAAAAAGATGCTTCTCCCAAAAAAGTTATGGTGCTACAAATAATGCAGTTAGACATTTTATAATGCAACAAAAATTACTTTCTTCCTATTCAAACCATTACAATTCCTATGAGATGGATGTGCAATTCCATACCCTATATGCAGCATCAAATCTGGTATGTATACAGCATTTATGCAGACCGGCCCAGACGGTCCTGCTTATTGTCCTACATGTGTAAGTGTGAACACTTCAGATAGAGAAAAAAGTTAAAAATACTGTCTAATTTTTCTTCTTGTTATTGTTGGATGACAGTCTCTGTCGCTGTGCTGATGAAAGAGCACGATGAATCATTCGACGTCTAGTAACTTCAAACAGTTTGGAAAACACCTAAAACATGGAGTGATTCGTTAGAAGAATGACTTAGAGTGCCTTGAAGTTAAAGAGTTTAAGACTACAACAATTTGAGACTTTGTAGGCTTTCTCACCTTCCTGGGACTCCTCTGAAGCAAAAGAAAAAAGAAATGCAAAGACATTTAGACAAGGTTTATTGACACAGCACAAATCATCTATGAGTAGTGATCACCTCACCTCAACTATACTGAAAATAAGTTTGCACAGTTTAAATTCTTCCACTCAACTGGTTTTTGTAATAATGGCACCTCTAAAATCCTAGAATTTTAGATGAGTATTTCTCAAAACACATTGTATTGATTATCAAAATTCATTTTGTAGACAATAATGGTCCAAAAATTTCAAGTAGATAATAACATTTATATCTTTTTTAAAAAGTGAGGTTATGATAGTTTTTAATCCATCTTCTAATAGAAGATACAAATTAACATGAAATGAGGTTTTTCAAGAGCTTAAAATTTAAATTAAACAAATATTCAACACAAGTCCACACAAGTGAACTTCCAAATTAGATCTGAAAAGAGAGCATTTCTCTTTAAGAAAATACAAAATTCAAATCAATATAGTGGGTCACTTTATAAAATAATGATATTATTACAACAAAAGTCAAAATTCAATCTACTTTCTTCAAAAGATGGTTTACTTCTCCAGTCTTTGAATTTAAAGCCAAACAAACATGGACTTTCATATCCTAGATCCTGGAAAAAGCCCAATAATTCATTGGCTGAGAAATGGCATCTGAAAATCCTATTATACCGTCCATCAGTGATAATGTGGCTTTTATTGTGTTCCTTGATGTGACGCTCAAGTACTTCCCAATGACAATATCCTTAAGTGAAATTTTCTGCACACAGGCAATTTCAGCTCACAGTTGGCCGATATACATGGCTTTCCTTAGTAGATACTTGCTGGGGAAGAATTGTAGCAAGACTCTGAATCCCAATTTGAAGCAGAAGATTATTATTGAAGGTGATTCTTTGCTTGCAGAGTTTTGCTTGTTCGCTAGTATTTCCAAAGTACAGAAGTCTAACTTTTTTTGGTTTAAGAAAACTCTATAGGCTGCTTCCTTGCAGTACAAAAACACTGTCTTCATGGAAGACAACGAAGATCTATCATCAATACTTTTCCTAGAATATAAGAGTGCATTGCTTCTTGCCATTAGTAAGAAACTTCTTTTATTCTTCTGAAGTACTAAACTACCAAAGCTTTTTGTCCTTACCTTCATAAATCTTTCACTGATCTTTACAGACTCTGGCCCTGGGCACTGTCAGGTATGATCAGGCCTACATCTAGGAATCTATCCAGAGGATATTACAGATTTAGGCTAACCAAAATACATTATAACTTTAAAGAAAAAAATTATTCAATTCATACTTTACATTCGGACTATACAACCAAACAAACAGAAAACATCCTTTTGATATTCGTCATATAAAGGAAAAAGGAAGCGTGCAAATACTGCGGGGGCTGGGGGGGGAACATAGGTATAATGAGATTAGTCACTGAAAAACAAAGATACCAACCTGTTCCCATAGTGCTTCAGCAATCTGATCAATCATTGTTCCAATTTCTCTGAACTCCCCAGAGTATTTAACATATGCCCAAGTACAAAGAGCTATCAGTGCTAACCCCATAACAAGGTTACACAAGACAGCTATAGAGGTTAAGCCAATGAAGCCAGTCAGTCCTGCGATTATATACATAGCAAACATGACCGCAAACAGTGTAGCGGGAGTACGAGCAGCATGGAAGATATTTTTGCCATCATTGTGCTTTATAAAATTTGCATAGTTTTCTTCAATTTCAGCCTCAAGCTGGTCCTGATAACGACGGCAGAACTCCTCTCCACCCATTTTTTTGACAGAACGAAACTGTTTAATCGCTATTTCCTTGAGATTCAAATGTTTTCGCTCCAGATCCGAAGGTGCAATGTAAGGTTTGTCCCCACCACACACCTGTATAGACAGAATTATAATTACAGTAGGAAAGATGACATGTTAGAAATAATTAACATTTGAAACCAGTTCCCTGTTCAGTTTTTAGCTTCATAAAGTTAGCCAAACTTGTTTATAATATTTCACACATAATCGTTACCTGTTTATTTCTTATCTGTTTAAAGAACAGGTAAAACAGTTTTCCAAATAAGACAAATACCAGTAAAACTGAAGATAAAAAAATCTGCACTGTACTCTGCCCCTGACTTCATTTTAGTGATCAATACAATAGTATAAGATGCTGAGAAGAGAGTGCGTAAATATAATACCCTAAAAAGGTATTTTAATGCTTGAGTTCACAAGCATAGCACAGAAGTGTTATTGGCCTTAAGTTAATACTACTTACACCAGAGACTACTAATAGCAGCACTCTGAATCATGTGCCAGAAAATATTTCAGTAGTTTATGTAATAACTTGCCACTTGTACTCTACACTCTATCCCTGTGAATTATTTTGAAATAGCTTATTTCCAGTAAAGATGATAAAAAGGAATTAGGGCATGCTGTAATGTGACAATGAGAAGTGCTGGTGGTGTAGTGGTTAAAGCACTGGGCTGCTAAACCTCAGGATGGGCAGTTCAAATCTACCAGTTTCTCCATGGGAGAAAGATGTGGCAGCCTGCCTCCGTAAAGCAGCCTTGGAAGCCCTATGCTGTCGGAATAGACTAGAAACCAATGCACTGTAATGTGACAGTACACTAACAAAACAAAACAAAACAAAAACACCCCACTACAATTGAGTCAATTTTGACTCATAGCAATCCTACAGAACAAACTAGAACTACTCCCATAGGGTTTCCAACAAGGCTTCAAATTGGTTCAGCCTAGCTCAGTCATGGCCAATGAAGTAACACTAGAACAGACTCAAATTTTTAAAATGTGGGTGAACTGGAATGCTAACTAGAATGGGAAAAATTATGGGTCGAAGCCCTGCTAGAAATTTAACTTCTCTCTTAAAAAAAGGACAGTGTGTGTATTGCAAAGCAACAAATCTCAACCAGCAAAGTAAAAAACGGCAGTGCATGGCTTTGAATGTGTGTCACTCTCCACATTCCTGGCAATAAGCCAGCATCACACATCAGGCTCCTGAAAGGGCTCACTATGCCTCTTCTGAGTCTCCCATTCCAGTACATCAATCTATAAATTTTCTTGTTCTGGTTAGCATTCCAAATCACCCAAATTTTAAAAAGTTCGGATATATTCTTGTTTCACTTCGTTGGCCATGACTAAACCAATTCAAACAGGTTCCAAGCCTGCTTTCTAAGGCTGTAATCTTTACTGAAGCAGACTGCTACATCTTTCTCCCACAGAGCGGCTGGTGGCTGTGAACCACAGATCCTTTGGCTAGCAGCCAAGCACTTAACAACTGCATCACCAGGGCTCCCCATAACAATATATAAGGAACACAAATTAGTTTGATTATTCTGAATATAAAAGTGTGCTGTCCCACTCTAATGTCAAATTTAAATTTTAGTTACAAACCTGTTCCATACTTTTGCTATAGGTATCTCTTGCTCCTGCTACTGCAGCAAGATTATTAGCTTCAGCTGTTGCCTAAAAAGAAAAGAAAATGTACTAATTATTATACACAAAAAAATCCATGAGTCTATAAATTCTGATTAACATAATACAATTTGTGCAGTAAATATGAAAATAAACCAAAGAAAAATATTATCAATTCCCAGTTTTCCTTTCCTATATAAGAAAACACCAACATAAAGGATATAATAATTACTTTAATGAGACTGCTTCCCTAATATTAGGTCCATGTTAAAATGGGATTGTAGGAAATGAATTAGCTAAGGAAGTGGATAAAGAATTAATGTGTTAAATCTCTAGATGCAAAAAATAAAAAATTATCATACAATTATCTCTCTCATAATCAATATTACACAATAGGTATTTTCAAATCCACCAAAAACTGTGTGAGTTTTATTGGAAAAAACTTGCTTAATCCACTATAAAGCTGGCAAGTTACCCAAAGTGGCAAATCTTAAAAAATATGACCTGAGTTAAAAGAACATTGTCCAAAAACATCATTTGGAAAAAAAAAAAAAAAGTTACAACTATCTTCTAGTTGTAGAAGCAGTTGTAAGTCATTAATACCAAGAGAAAATAAAATGAGCCTTATTCCAAAAAACATTCCTTACCAAAGACTCAGAGAATACAAGAAACTCAGTTTAGTTATGTACACATTAAGCCACCTTATGCAACAGATATTTCGAGTATCTGAAGAGGAGGCACCAAACCTGTACATGTGCAAGGTGTGCAATCAATAGTTATGAAATATCACATAAAATCCTAGAACCAATGACATGTATTACCTTAAACATCTAAAATGTATTTGCATGTAAAGCAGCACTGGAAAAAAATTCAAAGATCATTCTGCCCCCTACTCATTTTCAACCATATCTCTAAAGCCAGTAGAGAAAACAGGTACAAGTATGAGTTGCTTAACGTCTGTTTGGGCAATGTCCAACCACATATACATCTGTGGTCCCATAGATTTTTTTTTTAAAAGGGAAAACAGTTCTCCTTTTGTTTATTTCCCCCTAATGGTGTTAAAGACCCCAAACCCAGACTCTTACAGCACTGGACCACAGTGAGGATATAGGCAAGTGAGGCAGAGGACATGGTATGGCCTCTTGGGCTTTGTCTGGTGGAGGTGGGTGGCAGTGATGGGGGACTACAGGGCCCAGGCTGTTCCTGCTGTTCAAGAAGCAGAACAGCAGGGCTGGGTGCACTTTGCTCTCTCCCCACCTGCTGCTGCTTGCTCTGCTCTTGCCACTGCCCTCTTAGCCACTGCTGCAACCTCCGCCAGCAGCTTGAGCACCAGCAGCAGTGGCGATGAGGGAACTGGAAGCAGACTCCCATAAGCTTTTAATACGGTCTAAATCACATAACATCCTGTTTCGCAGGACATATCATGGATGTTAAATGGTGCATATCTGTATATGTATAAATAAGTATATGTACACAAGACACACACATTACCTGAAGCATGGACTTTGGATGTGGAAGTTCCTCTCCTTGATAAATTTTAATGTAAGCCTAAAAAGGACAGAAGTTTCATTATGTTGGTGGGTTATGAAATTTGGCTCTGCATCTCCAAAGAAAGAAAATCATTAAAAACAGGAGCAATTCATACCATTAAAAAGAAATTCCAGGCTTTAAAAATTGCTTATCATTTTCATATTCCTACTAAATTAACCCTATTCCTAACATCATTAAATATACATGTTGCTAAATAATATCCTAGAAAAATGCTTCTAGATATAATTCAAGTTGAAGTAACAAGTTACATCTTATAAAGTTATATATAAAATGGTAACCACTTTATGAAAAGAAAGCCACCTCAGAAAATATTTTTCACTAAGTATTTTACTTTATTTATTTTTAGGAGCTCTGGTAGCACAGTGCCTAAGGTACTTGACTGCTAACCAGAAGGCTGGCGGTTCAAACCCACCAGTCACTCCTTGGAAGGAAGGTTGGGCAATCTACTTCCGTAGTGATACTGCCTTGGAAACCCAAGGAGGGCTCGCTATGAGTTGGGGCCGAGTCGGTGGCACGTAACAACAAAACAACAAGTATTTTACACCAGCTTCAATTATTTCAGCTCAAATTTTAAAAAAATCACTTTATTTGTGGTTTAGAAGCTCTGATGGTGCAGTGGTTAAAGCATCCAGCTGCTAATCAACAAGTTGGCAGTTCAAACCCACCAGCCATTCCACAGGAGAAAGATGAGGCAATCTGCTTCCATAAAGATATACAGCCTTTGAAACCCTAAGGGACAGTTCTACACTGTCCTATACAGTTCCTGATTCAGAATGAACCCAATAGCAGTGGGCTTTAATTTGTAGTTTAAGAGTAAGAAGGAGAGGAGGACGTTCAGTAAGATGGTGGAATAAGCAGACAAGCTACACAGACCCTCTTCAACAAAGAAAAGAGAAAGACATTGACAGAGATACAGAAGATAATCCTGAAGCAAGCTTTGAAAAGAAGTATACAGAAGTGGATTAGGCACCAACTAGTGGGAAAACTTGAATGAAAACAGGACCTAAGAGTAGGCTCCATTTGCCAAGGACGGTGGGGACATATGGGGAAGGCTGACAACAGGAAGAGAGACAGGTGGTGAGTGTATAAGTCCTGTCAAATAACAAACAGAGGAGCACAATACTCTGCTTGCGTAGATAACATCCAAACAAAACAAAAATCGTGGGCAAGTCACTCCAACATACAATCACCAATTAAATATAAACACAAAAACATCACAATGCCTCGGAGACAACAGAGCACTGCAGTCCACACAAAGAAGCAAGATAAAGAAGGAGAAACAAGGGACCAGGATACAGACCCAAAACACGTCCCTGAGGAAGACAGAGCATTGGAACTCCCTCATAAGGAATTCAAAAGAATTATATTTAGGTATCTTCAACAAATTGAGAGACAGATTAAGGAAAACACTGATAAAATTGAGGAAAACACAGAGAGAACCCTAGAACAATTTCAAAAGATAATACAAAAACAAAATGACCAAATAAATGAAAAAGTAGAAATGATACAAAATCTACACACAGAAATCCAGAAGATTAATATTAAATTTTCAGAAATAGATAAGACATTGAATGGGCAAAGGAGCAGAAATGAAATCAATGGAAGAGAGAATTAGAGAAACTGAAGGCAAATACCTGAACACTTCTTTGGAAAGGGATCAATCAGAAAAAAGGTCAAAACAAAATGAAGAAAGCCTAAGGTTCATGTAGGATACCATCAAAAGGAATAACCTACATCTAATGGGAATTCCAGATCAGGAAGAGACAGATAAAAACCACAGAAAAAATTGTCAAAGATTTGTTGGAAGAGAATTTTCCTGGTGTGATGAAAGATGAGAATATATCCATTCAGGAAGTCGGACAAACCCCAAGCAGGATAGACCCCAAAAGAAAATCACCAAGACATATCATAATCAAATTAACCAAAACCAAAAACAAAGACAGAATCCTGAAAGCAGCACAAGAAAAACGAAAAGTTACCTACAAGGGGCAACCAGTAAGACTAAGCTTGGATTTCTCGGCAGAAACCATGCAGGTGAGAAGACAATGGGATGGTATATATAAAACCCTGAAAAAGAAAATTCCCAACCAAGAATTACATACCCAGCAAAAATCTCCTTCAAATATGATGGTGAAATCAGGACATTTCTAGATAAGCAGAAATTAATGGCATTTGTTAAAACCAGACCAACCTTACAAGAGATGCTAAAGGGAGTCCTTTGGACAAAGAAAGCAACAACAGCCAACAACAACTGACCATTAACACACAAGATGACATAACCCAGAAAACAACCCAGCTATGGAAGTATCCAAAGTAAATAAGCCTACAAGATTGTAAATAGAGAACCAGAGACACCAATGGACAAATGAGGACAACTACAACCCAAAAAGAGGGCAAAAACTGTGTAGTTACAGAACTTCTAAATGGTAGGAAAGTCAAGACAACTACAAGATAGATGGACTATTCTAAACTTGGGAAGAAAACTATAAATCACAGGGAATCTCAAAGAAAAATGATAAACCTTCACATCAAAATAAAAAAGAAGACCAGTACAAATATTTAGCAAATACTAAAACAATAGCAAAGAAGGAAATGATAACACGATTCATAAACAAAATGAGCTCAGCACAGAAAATTATATGGAACAAAGAAATCAGCACCACCACAAAAAGGCACATAACAAAATGACAGCAATAAACCTATACTTGTTGATAATTACACTGAATGTCAATGGATTAAATGCACCATCCAAGAGACAGAGAGCTACAGACTGGATAAGAAAACAACCCATCAATATGCTGTCTATAAGAGACACACCTTAGAGACTAAGACAAAAATAGACTAAAAATCAAAGGTTGGAAAAAGATCTACAAGCAAATGACATCATAAAACAGCAGGGTGGCAATATTAATTTCTGATAAAATTGACTTTAAGACAATAACCACCATAAGAGACAAGGAAGGGCATTATATAATGATTAAAAAATCGATTGAACAAAAGGACATAACAAAAATATCTATGCAGCCAATAAAAAGCCCCAAAATACATAAAACAAACTCTAACAGAACTGAAAAGACAAATAGATTACCCCACAGTCATAGTAGGAGACTTTAATACACCACTTTAAACTATGGTGCATATATACAATGGAATACTATGCAACACTAAATAATGTAGACTCTGCAAAGCACAATTCTGGTTTTTGGTCACTGGTGTTCAATGCATCAAATCTATTCGTTAGATGATCTCTAAATGCAGGAGGGATATATTCAAGATCATATTTTCGCTCTTTGGACTTATTTTAATTGACTTCAACTTCAAATTGAACTTGCATATGACCAGTTGATGGTCTGTTCCACAATCAGCTCCTGCCCTGGTTTTGGCTGAAGATATTGAGCTTTTCCACTGCTTCTTGCCACAGATGTAGTCAATCTGATTCCTGTGTGTTCCATCTGGTGAAGTCCACGTGGAGAGCC